GCTGGAAGCGCGCGCTCTGAAAATTTTATCTCAGCTTGAGGGGGATTTCAAAGGGTAAATGGAATATACAAAAGGTAATGGTTCTTCCCCTTTATCATTATGTGGTTATTATAGTTAGGGGGTGATAACTTCTAAAGAGGGAACTCCTAATTTTGGGGTGACTGGTGAGGTAATTCTGAAGGTATGAGAAGAAATTTAAGATGAAATTTACAATGAGATGAGCTCTGTAGAGAGCGTGCGTCTGTATAGGAACCACAGTCAATCATGGTGTTCGTCGATTTCAGAATTTTAAGACCCCTTCCCACCTTGGGGAGTCTCGGCGACCTCCCGTCTTCCTCAGGGCGTCTCGACGACCTCTTAAACCATCACATCACCCCCACTGCTGGCTGCTTCCGTAGCATTTAATTCTGAGACCAGTCGACATAACCTTCCAACTCCGACCACCTTTCCCCTCTATATGAGCAAAGGTGGTAGGATGGAGAAGGGTAATCTCAACACGGTCAAGGCCCTAATTTTGTCCACTTGATGCTTATTTTTTGCAGCTTTTCTCGAAAATACCAAAACCCGCCAGAAACGAGGACCTCCCGCGCAAACACGACCCATTCGCTTCCCGGTAAACACGGACCTCTTGACTCCCGTCAACCCGGATTACGACCCCTCTTGAAAAACCGCAAATACTCCCCCCCTCACCCATCTGGGTCGGTTGAAGGGACGTTTGACCAAGATAGGATCCTTTCAGGACAAGGTGACATACTGCTGCAAAACCTTGTTCAGTCACTTCTGCGAGCTGGCTGTGCGGTATGATGGAACTAATCTCAAGATGTGATAACAATCGAATTATTATTTTCATGACCTACCAATTTGTTTGGGGTATTCAAGGTTGAGCTTGTTCATGAGTTCTACGAATTCGTCCTCGGATTTGGTCATTCGCGGATTGAACCGTTTCTCTTCAGCAACCTGAAAGATACAAACTACAGACCTTGTGAAAAGAAACGCTGTGATTTCGATCGACTTTGGCACACGTCAGCCAAGTGCTCCTCATTGAATCACGATTCGTTTTGTGTAACCCCTCTTCACGGAGACTTTAGAGTAAAGTTGTTTTAGAGCTTCAATAGGGGAAAATAGAAGAAATAACCACTGTTGATACTTTAATCAAGATCTTCGTAATCGATGGCAAAAAATAAGTGGAGAGCCTGGATCAGACGGCGGGGCCATATTGCCTGCCTATATGAAAGGGCACTTGTCAAAAATGACTTTTGACCATGTCCTCCTGCAAAGAAAAGTCTTGGAGTGGATACTCTTTAAAGAAATGATTCGAAGAGCATTATCGATATGGTGGAGAGAATGAATTTCGAGATGTAGTTAGAGACCGTTCAATGAATTTCAGTGCGGTGGGCAAGCGCCTGTACTAGTTATATCATGGGAAAAAGAGCCTACCATGGTTCAGAAGAAATTGAAAAAAAAAACAACTAAGCATACCTTTTCAGACCGATGGTGCTGAAAGGAGCCGATAGTTTGTGTCCTACGTAGCGGAGAAATGAAGTCGTCCGGCAGACTGAGAATTTTGTCCCATACTGACCGATACAAGGTGTGAGCATTTCCTGAAAACCTCGATTAGATAGTCAAACTGACATTGAGAAAGCACTTTGCTAGCGTAGTGGCAAGTGGTACCGCCTTGCATGTTGAACTTCCCGAGACCAAATTTTCTGGGCATGAGCAGTTAGTTGAGTTATCGATTTATCGGGCCAGGATTAACTCGACCAATTAGGCGAGGATAAAGTACTGACCGGTTACACGGTTGGTCACACCCAAGTCATTTGCTATGGGTCGACACCACATTCTGCTACCATTAGGGATTTTTCTGTTGCGATGATAATTTCTGGCAAGCGGTGCTCGCTCAGAAAGGGATTGATCGAAGCGTGCGATTCGTTCTATCCCCCCTTTTTCGAACATTTGCCCGGCGGTTTAGGTGATTCCGACTCGTCGCAGAGCCTGAGCTCACATTACGATGCAATACATTTGTGAACAATAACATTGCTGGAATGCTGCCGAATGGGCAGGAGGGAGACGTATTGCGCCCAGAGGCGGAGAACGTGTTCGTTTCTCCTCCTGGGCGTCAGGTCACAAGTTCTGCGCGATATTGAAGTCAGATTAACTTTGATTGCGACATAGGTTATAAGACTTTATGCTTACACATTGGCTTATGCCTAAGCCTATGATTGGGCCTAGGCTCAGTCCTAAGCTTACTCTGAGCGAATGAACGGTGTCTCATTTTTAGGTGACCTGACCCCAGGAGGAGAAACGCTACGCACCCCCCCCACTCCCCCCAGAGGCGCAACCCTTCTAACCGTTCCCATTGAACAACAACCAGAAAGAACAAGGAATCATTAGCCGCTAGGTAAAATTTTGTGCTACTACAAAACCGCCATCACCAATTCTCACCACAGACCATGCACAGAGCGAAATCTAATTTTGGGGCGCCTAGAGATTCGAAATTGAGTCAGTGCTATATCCTGAGAGGGCTGAATTCTATCAAACATATTGTCCTTACCTTGTTGGAAATCGGTTCTTCCGCAACCACGAATCAGCAGCGCGTCGCCCGTGAAAGCCATCTTATGTGCATGTGAAACATAGGTTACACATCCTGAAAAGAAAACGCTAATAGAACGAGTGAATTCGGGTGCAGGGACCCACTGCTGAAAGGGGTTGTGATAGAGTATTTGGCAGGGGAGGAAACAGATGGGATAAGAAATTGACCCGTAAAGGTGCTGCAAAATAAAAGTACTATTTAGTGAGAAATAGCAGAATGGCTTGGAAAGAATTATTTCGACATTTCCTCAGTCAAATATTTTTTTTTCAACTCCATGAAAAAAAAATCTGAATGAAACGTTACAAGCGCGAAAACTCCTACTGATGCGCGAGCGGATGCGGTGCTGTTGATGAGGATAAGTAGGGGCCAGTCATAAAGGCAGGTATATGAGTGGGATCTAGCCGCCATCACGATGGGATGTACTATACTTTTCTATAGCCTTGATTACAAAAAGCTTTTTTTCGGGCCTTCTCCAGTTAGGAGGGGCATTGCGGTGTGCAGTCTACTCTAAGGACAGTTTGGCTCAAGGAGCTCTTCAAAGTTACGAGTTGTCATCAGCTTAATGCCCTAACCATAAGTTGCTTCTTCTGGTTTTCATATAATGTATGTGTTCTTATGTTATGACATGAACGTCTAGGAAAGGTAATATTTATCTAGTGAGCAACTAGGACTGAGTCTAGGAAGGAGGGAGGAAGTCCCTCCCCCTAGAGAAAGGGAAGATTGCTCCTGAACCCGTGGTTTTTATCTCCCTTTTAAGGCTAAAACCTTTCCACTATGAGAATATGCTATCCATGATGTTAAGCAATTTGAGCGCTGTGAACCACATGCTACCCCCTAACTGAAACAGAGCCCTTTTTTCTGAACGTGATCACTCAACAAATCAGCAAAATCAATATACCGTCGGTATGTCCGGGTGTGGTACGTACTTCGAGGTGTTCGTGGCCAAATTTAATCTTGTCGCCATCGTCCACATAATGGTCAGCTTTGCCTCCAGAGTGCTTCGAAAGGACTGATTTCATGTGTGGATATGCCTTAATAAAGCATTTTTGATTGAATTTGGTTGGTCACATTGCGTCATCAGGAGTATAACTAACATATATAATAACATATAACTGAATATCTCACCAACTTCAAAACTCCGGTACCGGTAACATGATCAGCGTGGACATGCGTGTTTAACCCGTATATTAAATCGAGCTCAAGATCGCGAAGGATCTGAAATGATTATATCTTTTACAAATGTGAGTATCATTGAAATTGAAAACTCCTACTAATCACTTAACACCTTTACGACAGCGAGCATTTTTTGCTTCTTTAATCCCAAGGTTTAGGTGCGATTTTGCGAGCATGGCTGGGAAATCATAAAATGGAGTATATAAACCAGCCGTGCCGTATCTAATCGGATTCTAGACCGCGTCGTTTACAATTGGATCTGGGCGCGAGAGATAGAATAAATAAACCAGTCCGGTAGGAAGTCCACATGCGGGAAAATTGAAGGGCAGTGGTGTAATACCCTCAGAGGGCCTTGTAATTTTTGCACACGCCCTCGCGTTAACTTTTAGCTCAGTTGTCGTGCAAAAATTGTTTCACAGCGCAACAGTCCGTCCTATAATCAGAGCTGAATAGCGTAGACTTCATATAGATAAAATCGCAAGCCGAGGAACCCTTGGTCAAGAAATTGGGCGTTTCCTTTCTAGAAAGTGACTAAGAAATTGGCTGGTCACCACCTACAATCTAACTAAAAGGCAATTAACACGATGGCCAAAGGGCGAACGAATCTTGGCTGAGGCACCGAGCGTAATTTGGTGGCGAGAATCCTCGGAAGGTGACCCCGTCCTATCCCTCTCCCCTACCTCTAAACGAGTCTGTCACCAATCCATCCTCTAATGATTCGTTCCAATCCTCCCTCCCCTTGGAAAGCGTTTGTCCAATAATCACCTCTGTATGTGTCTAAACCTCGTCTCCTGTCCGCAGCCATCGGTTCACGGTTGCTTTTAGTCAGTCAAATGACTACGGAAAAAGAAACCCGCAAATGGTCGAGAATCTTCTAGACTCGGACCGGTGCTACGGCTCCTCTATGTACCGGGAAGGCAAAAAAAAGGAACATTTTGCCCCACCAAGTCGAGCCACTTGAAGCCTTTTTCGCTCGCCACAATGTGCCGTTCCTTAGCAGGCAAATTCCTCAGCTGAATGTCCCTCTATAAGTACACGCAGGCCCTCCTTCACTACCCTCACCGTCTTCAGAATATGACGTCATCTGTCACCGTCGTCGAGCTCAGGGAGGCCTACAGTAACTGCTTCAGCCTGAAGCTCTTACGTAATTTCTTGAACGCGGGATAGTTTTCTAGGGACATTAGCTCTAACTATGCAACCCCCTCGGGAACTCGCCCTTTCGGAACCCGATCCAGTCGAGAACGCCTAAGTCGAAACGCCCATAAGCTCGAGAACCCATTGCTCGACCAGAGCACCATGTTTTCGGGGCAAACTTTTCCTGATGTCGTCCACGTAGATGGCCACTATGAAGATTTTCTTATGAAATGAAAATGCGCTCTTCAATTCTAAGTTGGGAGCACACGCTAGCTGAGCAAAGTGTGACTAAATCCATCTGTACTCATTAGTGACCCCTTATGGCCGTAATGACACATAATATGCCGACCACATGTATCAGCCACAGGTAGCAGAATGGAGTAAGTAGAAGGGGCACCGCATTCGCTTATACCGGTATGGATCGAGTTGATTCCAAGATAGTGCAGCGTGCATTCATTCGTAAGCCCAGTGCAGTGTTTTGAAGGCTCAGGATGAAATTGGTGAACTTGGGCTAGCTTTTCTCTCTCTCCCACTCACAGTAGTGGCGATACCTTAGTAAGTGCACAACATACATAACATACATTCACAGGTGTGAAAGAGGCTGAAGCATGACACAATAGCGATTCTATTCCCCAGAAATAGCCACCGACCTTAGCATCCCTATGAGCGGTCTCGATAACCGGATCGATGATGATGGCTTTTTTCGTGGCAGCACAACCCAGAATGTAGGTGTACGTGTTCGAAGCATACTCCACCATCTGTAAAGGCGCTGAGCTTGAAATCGGTTTGAGAGAACTATTATAGATCTTTTTGGTCACGAACCTGCCGGAAAATCAGCGGATGCACCTTCATTTTGTCTGGTTAGCACCAGCTGGACAATCTGCAAAGTAATTGTAAAAAAGGAAAAGATGAGCATGAAAAATTGACTTGACAGAATTGACTAAGGAAAAGAAATTCAAATAATTGAGGACGAAAGGACTTCAATGTCTCAGTGAAATTATTATTCCGTTGTAATTATCGTAGCGTTGGAGTTGAAGGCAAAAAAAACTACTAGATTTGGAATGCTAAACCGATTTTTTGAACTTTAGAAACCTTAGGAACTATAGGCGAGGAGGAGATGTGAGATTAGTGATATACATAGAGCCGATAGTGAGATTATATTGAAGGCCTCCCATACTAGGGTGACAATCATCGTTATTGTTGTCATACAGGGCGGCATTGATAAAATGGCAAGTGGAGCCGTTTACCACGCGCGAGGTGGGAAGATCAAAGCCTGGGCCGTACCTATCTGGAACTCAGTTCGGGTGCAGCAAGCCTTGGTTGGGGATAGGCCCCGAAACCCGCCGTCTGTACTCCAGCCGATGACGCAGATCTCATAGTCAAGAATAGGTGGATTCACCCAGAAATGCATATTTGAGGAGCTATGCTCGGTCGGGGTTTCAGTACCCGGCCCAAAGCAAATCAGGGGAAGACATATCTGAAGCGATCAATCAGCCCACGAAACCTTGAGAAATTGAGCAAAAACTGTGAAAATTATATCAAAGGCTGCATGAGACTTGCTGAGACTTCTAAAAGATACATGGAAGTGCTGACTGCCTTTAGGATAAGCCGTGCACGGCTCATCATTCGCATATAAGGCGCTTATTAAGCGCTCATTTCATATGGATTTAGCTGGACCATTGTCTTAATACAGAAACCGTCATGAACTGGCTTGAGTTACCCAGTCCTGAAGCACTTTGTCGTGCCCTCACCACGGTTTACGAGAGGCAGCGTGGGCGATCTTAGCTTACTCTCGAACTACAATTTAACCCCCATCAACCCGTTTGCTCGCAGCGTCGCTCTTTATAGCCGAATCAATTTTCGTCGTTGTAAAAGATGTCCTTTTGCTCCGCCGTTCAGGTGTAACGTGACTTTGGCTAAAATGGCGTCGTCGCTGACCCCCAGTACAACCTCGGCGAGGAATTACAATAAGAAAAATTGTCTGAAAAAAGAAAAAACGCCATTAAGAGGACGTGAATGACGACAAGAGAGCGAGAGGAGAATGGTGCGATGATTCGCTTGGTTTTCGCCCGGCGCACGTGAAAATCTCAGTGGTTGTTCCTACCGCTCACAATGTATTGAATGATTTTGTTGATGGAAATGTTCCAGACTGTGATCTTGACCGCCGATTAAACAGTACCCTATCGCTGTAGTGAATGATGAGACCGCTATGGGAGACGTAACTGGGAGAACTTGGCACTCGCCTAAGACGGGCACAATACAGAAATTCAACCGGTGAGTGGCGATTTAATGAGTAAAATCCATATTCAGTGTAAAGTTGTCACCGATCAATCAACGTCACATCGTGCTATGACTACTATATGAAAGAAAGAACAAATCCTTCAAAATCATGCATTGCAGAAGAAACTGGGCAATATGTAGCACGTCAAATGGAATAAAAACGAGACGCTGTTGTGTGGACAACATCGTGATCGCTTGGATTGATGCTGCCCCTTCGTTCTAAAAGAAAATAACGAACACGAGTTCTACAGAGAAGTATGAAGATGAATGGCTCCTAAGGAGCCCCTTTGCTCCCTTTGCCAGTGCTCCTTGGTGATACAGAAACTAATACTAACGAAATCTTGTTTTTGTTTGTTAACTGCTGTTTTTGGCCGCAGTTCGCCTTGCGAATGTTTCACAAGAATGCTGGGTTGTGAACAAAACTTTCGCCCCAGGCGGGACTAGAACCCGCACCTCTCGCTTTCCGGCAAGTGCGCTACCATTTGCCCCGGTAGCGTAACTGGTAGCGCACTTGCCCGGAAAGCGAGAGGTGCGGGTTCGAGTCCCGTCTGGGGCGAAAGTTTTGTTCACAACCCAGCATTCTTGTGAAATTGACGACATCATTTTGACAAACTCGAGCAGAGAAATAAGCTTGAAGTGGACTCAAGAAGACGCGAACTCGCGATTGTTGTCGTCTTAGTGCAGAATCAGATGTTCACATTAACAGTGGGTTTTTTATTTGCTGGACACCTGTTGTTCTGTAAAAATCCAATTCCGTGACAAAATTGCACGCATCGAAGAGCCAGTAGAGTGCTAAAAACGATGTCTTCAAGCCCCTCTGCGCGATAAGTAAAGGAGGGTGGGGAGGAAGGAATAGATGTTCATCGTTGTTGATGAGGTAATCGATGACAAAACAATCGACAATTATCGTTTCACGTTTACAGATTCTTCGATTCTTCGAGCTGAGATAGTTTATGAACGCCCTAGCATATAGCTATAGCGAAAATTCACTGCGGCGCCACTGGGTCCCGTTTAGCCCTTTGGCCTGATCTTGAAGAGCTCAGGCACATACAAAAGCTCCGCCAAAAACTAACAGCTAAGGATGCCTCCTACAGCTCGTTATCGTTTAAGGTCAGCTTTTCCGACACCACTATTGATTTCTGATCCTTAGAGATTTTTTCGCGTAATTTGAAGGGTGATGTGAATGACGGTGTCTTCAAATCTATGATTTTCGTATTTTTTTACTACTCCGCACTCCCACGGGTAATTTCGCCGAAAAGCCAGTCAGTAAAATTCTGTACCAATCTCGGAGGTTGAAGAAACAACAAACTTGAATATTGCCAGGCTTGGAGTTGGGTAGCAGAATGCTTATAACCTTGCGTCAACGTACCAGTCCGATGACATATCTCAACAGATGCTGGATAATAGGTGTATGCGAAATCCTCAGTGGAAGCATTAACATCGAAGCTTTTCAATTCCAAGTCAACACTTAATGAGGTTATGAATATGATATAGATTATAGAATGGATGCAGAGATTAAACATTTCTTAAGTATTAATAAATGGGACAGATAGAGTGGGTAGATGGCAATATGCTCCGTCCACATTCAGATAATTCGGAGAGAAACGGAGAGGAAACTGCGTACTAGAGTACGCCCTATTCCGAATCAGCCATGAGCTTACATCTTTTATTTCAGCATCAAGAGTCGTCTGAGGGGATGAAGGATCATGCTCTATACCTTATTTGGTATCGGTGCCCTGGCAATCAGTAGGGCCTATAACCAAGTGGGACTTGCAGCCCAGCTTTCCACGCATAGGCGAATTGCGCGCCTCACACCCTCACCCGTAGATTGCTCCCCCGTTCACACGTTCCCCGATTCGTGTGTCTACTGTACAGGCAACAGTCCCCACCTTATACCTCATTTCTGTTCAAGAAATGCAGCGGTCTACCCTACCTCGTATACAACCATATTGGTTTTGTCCACAACAAGCTGAAAACACGGCGCGAAGCGGCTGCACAATCATAAAAAGAAGTCAGGTGCGTGGCGTATCCAACAAAATTGAAGTCAGATCGCGAAATCCTTCCCGGATGACTACAAAAAAGAGGGAGACAGATTGAGAAAAAAACGGGAGAGCATGAACGTCGTCCATCGCAGCAAATGATCAATGATAGATTATGAATCTTCGATCATGGCAGATCGCAAATTTAACGAACATGACCTTCAGTGCTGGAGATAACTTTCAACAATTTCTACTCGTTTCCTCGCAAAGTAGAAAATGTGTGGAGTGATCGGTCAAATCGATTCTCGCTGGCATCTTCTCGCATCAACAGATACTTTGAGTAGAGTGTCAATTTCAAGGCAAGACAAATCACTTATCAGTCAAATAAATCCAAGAGGAATGACAAATCGTTCTGACCCATTTGAAATAGGAAAAGAAAACTTTCGTTTTGGTGAAACGCTAGAAAAAGCAAATTGGCCTCATCATCTGCTCAGGTCGTTTACCTGAGCGGAATTGACTCACTCAGTCAGCTTCTGGGGTTTTGGACAAATGCGTCAACAAGAACAAATGCTAATTTCATCACCAGAGTTCGGAAATCGAGTCGAACTCCTTCACACCTTGTCTGGCCCCTTGAGTTGAAGAGTACGATTTGGTCTCATGAATTCCCTTGCCCACATATAAGGTGATGTTAAACTAACGGAAGTAGGCAACGAAATAACCTTATTCACGGGAAGAGGAAGAAAACCTGAAATGTTTTTCACCAAGTGACGAGAGGCGATTTTATTGTTGCTATATGACCCTATCCCATGCCCTCGCCGCAATCTTAAACACCGGGAAGTTCATGAGAAAAACTGACTCTTGTGGTCTGAACAATGCTGACGTATGACGTTCCAACGAAGATTAGTCACTTGCTGACACCATTGATGACTTCGGCGACTACTGGAGAAGAGAGCATGACAGACACCAGCGCTTTCGCCAATGCGTATGGAAGAGTAGGTCAAAGAGCGACTTCATGGATAAAAAGGTAAAAACCGAAGACAACACTGGGGAGCAACCGACCATGCCGACAAAAAGGGGGAGTGGTCAGAAATTTTCCGTCGATTGTGCACGTACGACAGCGCGATCAGTCAGCTGGTTATCGAACAACATCTGAGAAAACTTGCGAAATGCACGTATGCACGCTCTTGCGAAGCACGTACTTGACAGTCACACGTATTCTACCGGTACACACGCACGACAGAGAAGGACTTCGAAGCAGGGTCGGTCCTATCGTTGCTACTTTTCAAAAAGTTTTTACGACCCCCCTCCCTCATGAAATGTTTCATACGACCCCCTCTTTCAAAACAATTTTTACCCCAAAAAATTACCGTCGAGCGGGGGGGGGGTATATACTTCCCATAAAACCGCAAAAATTCCCTACATTTCCCTACAATTTCCATGTATTTTACCCATATTTCAACTGCTCCATTTTCTAGGGGGGTATATACGCGCGCTGAAACGGCAAATTTTCTCCCGCGCCGCTCCCCACTCATCACATGCAACTTCTTACAACCGAAGCAAGTACGACCCCCCTCTACAAACTCATCAAAATACGACCCCCCCGTTGCTACTTGTAGCAACATAGGGTTGACCCTGCTTCGAAGCAATAAATGTGCTTTCTAGAAAACAGACAAAAAGAGTTGCTGAGAGTGACGTAAAGCGGGATTTTCTTGCCTCTCTGTTTGATCATAGATATATTTTTGCTATAACCATCATTTAATGCGTCTTTTACCTGAGAATTAGTTCTCTTGCCTCTGTGCTTTTCGTCGCTCTCCATTCAAGGCAGCAATTACGATAGATTCCGAGAGGGATAGGCGGCCGGGATGCTAATTTACACTCCAGGTTTAAAATAAAGCTGAAGAGTCCTCAAAGAATTCACAAAATAGGTCTTCCCTACTTACCCGTTTATTTTCAGCTATAGACTAGCCAGCAACCAAGAAGGAAATAGTGTGTGTGGACGTCTCAATCCCGATAGCCTTACGATTCATGTTCTATGTTTTATGCCTTCCGCGCTGCAACCGGCTCACGCTGGGAAGACGCTTTTGGGCAGATGTCAGACTTTGCGCATCGAGCGATTCGCTAGCGTCACGTCGCACAGCTTCAGTTTGTTTCAGTTTATGGTTGTGACTGTCTTTAATGCAATGGATGAAATATACATTGACCGACAATTTCGTGAAGGGGCATCATGTATTTTACTGAACACGTGTTTATAATGACATCTGAATGCGTGAAGGATTTATTTGATGTTGACAGTGTCCGAGTTTACTGATTTAGCGATCTATCCCTCCAGGAAGTTATGGCACCAACTAATGACCCTGAAAAGATAGAAGCTAGCATGTATGTAGATTGAAAACAAGTCAGGAAATTAATAATTTATGAATGGCCAAAGCCATATGATATGTCAACGATATCTATTAGTTTGTGTATTACGTCAACTTCTGCGACTACTTTTCGATTTTACTCTTTGTTTCTCTAATATAATTATCCAATTTATTAACATCACCAGCATTAGCAGCACATCGTCAACGCAAGCACCTCTTTTGTAGAATGCCATTGAAATCCAGCCGAAGAAAATTGATCGAGTTTGTCATCGTAGTGACAGGAATGAGATTTCTCTTTTTTTTCTTCCTCTCCAACAGGTGAACCAGATAAGAACGGGTGATGGTTCGTTGACACGAAGAAAGAACTGTCAATTCAGGAGTCTCCAATTTTCATAGTTCTCGTCGAAAGATGCAGTCGAACGAACTCAGAAAAAAAGCGAATTTTGTCCTGCTCTGCTTTCAGTTTGAAGGAAATTGCGTTGATTGAGCCATCGAGCCATTGACGTTTGTTTTCATTATTGACCCCAGCACAATCTGGTGTAGGTTCCCAGCGAAAACCCCTCTCGTATCCGTCCGCACTCAGTTCACTCTACCATAAATGTGCTGAATTGACACTTAAAGGAACCATGGGAAACCAACAGGATTATGACGATATCGGATCGTGTTTGGAGCTGGTTCGCGGACATTTATAATACAAAACTTTACGACTCTGTCGAGATGTCTCAGTCTTTACCTTGTCACATCGAAAGCGCTCAGACAAACAGCAGCTAGTATATTCCAGATTCCTTTCCAGTGGCGTCGGATAGAGCAACGAGATTGCCGGCCAAGGGGTAATTGGAGTGTAGACCACTTTTCAAGTCAAGCAACCCTGAATCGAGTGAGCCATTGGATTAAGTGAGTGTGCCATCAATGAACTTCTAGTTGATCCTCTATGTACCCTCGATGGTCCCAATAACAAATCATGAAAAGAGGTTTCGAAAAAATCAGACTCTTTTTCAAGATTGTGAAAATCAGGCGAGGTCTCGTCTAGGTGCGCAGATATGCTGAGTTACAGGACGCAAAAGAACTTCAATATTTATCAAGAGATTTTTGAAACAATTCATGTAAAGTGTCTCAGAACATATGTGCCAACTTAATAATATAGGTTGTCGTAAAAGTTTTTGCGCATTTGTCAACTTTTTTCCAAAATTGTTTTCTTCTTTAGTGCAGCCAACAATTGCAAATACATACACCACATCAATCGTCGAAACATTGCTCTTCAGCAGGTAACTTCTGGCTTGCCGGTCGTTCAGAAATCCTGAGCTTCTGAGACGAAAATCTAGACGGCTTCCTCTCCGGGTTTGTTCGAATCATCGAGCACTCCTCCTTTTCGTTGTTTCATAGCAACTGAGGAAGGTAGTAGTCTGTTGGCGCTGGCTGTGCTGAACGCCACAGGCGAGACAGAACAACCCATAATGGACTATAGGATTCTCGCTGAACCCTCTTCTGAATTCGTTGATGAGCAATGCCGAGGTAAAGTGAACTTTGGCAGATTTCCTGAGCACCATGTTGGCGAACCGATCCATCTGCCGCAATCATTGTTCATCTTCAACAATGGGTGATCGCTGGCAGCAGCTCTCCGAGTGTGAAACATCAGCAGCATCAGGAAGTCTCAAAGTCGCCTCTCACGTGCCAGTTCTGGAATCGGTGCTGCAGCCCTTCATTCTTCGCGTCAAAGCCAGTCGTGCTTTCGAGGGTGGTTTATATTAAGATGCTCTTCCTTGCACACACCAACAACTTGTCGGGTCAAATGAGAGACAGGCGCTAAATCGAAGTGTTTATGCTAATATCCGCCTTCGAAGGCGGTGGTTAGTTAGAAAAATCACGTATCACGAAATATCCTTTCGCCCCAATTTCACTTATATTCGAAGCGATATTGAGGAGGTGGCTGTTGTGCTCTGATAATACTCAAAAGCCCTGCCAGTTTCCGTGCATTGCACCGAAAACCTTTCCAATCGACTTCAGTAATACATTCTCCAGTTGGTGTAGCGGACGACCAGATTTGTGGTTTTTTTCTCAGATACCTAGACATCGGTAACTAAATAACTGTTACATTTTGAAAGATAGTCTGGAGGTTCATTGCATATGTAGTCCTCTTGCTGGTCTTCGACGCACTTTATGGGTTTATGAAATCAAGGGAAGTCGAACATTTCTACAGAGAAAGATGATTTTTATGTTACGGCAGGAATGCACTGGAGAGAGAATTGACCACTACTCACATAGGTATTACAGTGAATGTTTCAAAACAATCCCAAAAGATTTTGCGAAGATGAAGAAGAAAATCGCAAAGATTTTTCCGACAACCTAATTTGTATGGCTTACAATGACCTGGTGTCTGAACACAATTGCATATATGTAACATAAATAATACAATGCACAAATGACACGAATAACTCATCGCGGCAATTTTGAACTTAGTTGCACGACTTTCGTTGTTGTTGAGTTGCTAGCAACAGGTTTTGGCTGATAATTGATAATATTGCCGGTCATCATAGCTAGCTGCTCCAAAAAGGCTTCACGATACTCAAAGGAACGCCATAAGCACACGTAGAAAGCTTGACTGTAACAAAGCAAGGCGAAAACGACCTGAAAATAACAATGTCCGATCTACACACCACATCGTCACCCCATATACTCACCCAAATAACGTAAAGGAGGATCGACTACTTTTTCATTCGCGCACATCAGTATTTGACAATGTATGCTCCAATAATCAATCCAAGAAGTACCCCATGCATGGAATTCCCATTCCCTTTTGGGTGGGCCTTTGAACAACAAAAAAGCAGGTAAAAGACGCGCAAAAGGCACAACTTTTGGCATAAGTTTTTGGCAAAAATGGCAAAAATCAACTCTACAGGTTGGTGGTAATTAAAAGAATCCTTCCTGGAGAATTCTTTCTTTCTTTTCCAACATGAATGTTGTGGTCACTACATATAGACAACATTAAAAGTTTGTGCACGCAAGATTCAGTTTCCGAAGAGAACATAACTTACAAAAACTACACTCTATGGACAGTCGAAGGTAATCCGCGCAGCGCCAAAGTGAGGCATGGAAAGAAGTGCGCCTTGGGGCGGCCACGTATCAGGCGACGCATTGAAAGAATCTAATGAAATATTTTGGAGAACAGAGACAAAACGATCGATAGAATAGGATGCAGTAGAAGTGTGAGATGTTAGTGCAATAAGTCAAAAGGTCAAAAAGAGTTTCTAGTGACAGCACTCCGTGAACCAAGTGGAAGCGTTCCCGTCGCCAGCATTTGTGACAGATGTCCGGCGGGAATTTGAACGCGTAGCAGCCTTTCGATTTTTCGAATTTTTACCAAAACAAATGCAATTTTTCTTCTTTTCATTCTTATCGTGACGGTGAGTCTCAAGCCTGTGATTTATGGTGAGTTATTAGGTGAGTCATGATTTTCCCATGAAGGATTCCTTTATGCTTGTGCTAGTGAGCTTTCCTGCTTTCTTAAAGCCTACCTTTTCCCTCAACCAGCCATACTCATTAGTTATCTTGTTTCACTACATTTTTTGATAGCTCTCTGGATTCTGATGACAACCGAAAGGGATTCAATTATGTCCCTCACTGAAAGCACTGTTCTGTGCAAAAAAATTGTCAAACATCGCACTTGATGAGCTTGACTATTTTCATATGCGAGACCCGAAAAAAGTCATCTAGAGAGTAATCAATTTATTAGGCATTGGCACGTCATAAATGCGCCATTAACACGGCGCGAATGAAAACGGCAGGAGCGCTAGGGTCTTGCCAATGCTACCGATTCTTTACCGATGGTTTCAGCAACTCGCTCACTGCCAATTGTCTTTTTTTGTGCCTTTTCGTGTGAAGTGCTCCCTCGCATGTTGTTTTCTCTGGACACTCATGACTTTCTTGTACTTGTATTTAACCTCATAGAAGCTTCAGATTCGTGATTTTTGTATTTTCAATCGCTACCTTTTCTATCTTTTCCACTTTCAGACCACACTGCACCTCAGCCCTCATTAACACATTCACGCCGATGGCCGCCCATATGGGCTGCCAACTGATAATCGCTTGCCAGGCGCTAGGAATGGACAGATAGGTGGGCAAACCTCGTAATCGAGTGTAAAATGCTTTTAAATTCCTTCACGGGGAAAGTGAATAAATGCTCTCTTTTCGTAACCACTATTTGTCGTTCTGATCGAAATCCTACTGTTATATGTTCAGATAATCTTTGCGCATTGGACACTGCAGCAGGGTGAAAATCGTGTCGAGGAAATAACCGCCTCTTTACGACCCCCCTCCAAAACATGGACTCTGATACGACCCCTTTTTGTCCTCTGCACATCCGGTTTCATATCAAAAAATGCTAGTTTCAGATGTGCGAGAGGGACGCAGCGCCGCTGCCACGCAAATGCGGCTTGATCCAAATGCTAGATTCAATTCTGCTCAGATTAGGTTCTCCTTCTTTCCTTTAAAGACATTTAACCTTTGCCACATTGGCCGGAAAGTAGAACATTGAAGGAGGTACTGCCCCTACACAGTTGAACAGTCTCGCGCTCCAGTATAGCGGCGCTAACTACCCGCGATCGCGTCGCGCGCTGTGCCTAGAGCGCGCTAGTTGGAAAAATCGTCAAATGTACCCCCTATTTAAAGGACTATAACTTTCTTCATTGATAACCATTTCAGAAAGTGAAGGCAGCTTTTGAATGCACAAGACTTCTAGTTTCTAAATTGTGCTGAGCGTTTTTCTAAGCACGCCTATTCTCGAGAGTGGGAGACGTCGAGAAATTGTCGAGGAAATTGAAATTTACATGCGAGTTCCCACTCTTTGGAAGACAGTAGCTGTCTTCATTGGCAATGCTTTGAAAATCGGAGGAAAGCGTTGTAAAGTAGAAGATTTACGCTTTCTGATAGGTGCTCCAGTTGTTTCGAACGCTTTCTAGTTCGCGAGAAATCTGCGTCGAGGAAATGTCAAGGAAATTTTCGAAGCCACTCGAAAACTCTATTACTCCCTTGCCGTAGTAGGGAACTTCTTTGAACACCTTCAAAATACTTCTGTACGCGTCAGTTCGATGGAGTAAATTGAAAATGATGCACTTGGCGCGGATCCATTCCGTTCTTGTATGCGCCATGCAGTGACCCCACTCGGAGTCATTGGGAAGGTGTTTTGTCCTAGTGACGACTTGCTTAAAGGCACAACCCAGGCAGAGGTTTTTTATAACTCTTCTCTTCGGTCAGAAGTATAGAACCCTAGGGGACAATCACAAATGTGGCGTTCACGTGCACGGAATTCGACCGACAAGAACGCTTTGGGCTTGCAAAGTAAGCTGCTCGAGCTGCAGCGAACGAGCTCTCTTATCAGGCCGTTGTCTGGTGCTCTCTCATCTGATGCGCTCTCTCGCCCATACTCTCCTCTTCGCGCTTAGTCTCTCGTTCCTTTAGCACAGCCAATTAGGAAGGTGAGTGAGCCCTCAACCTGAGCGTTTTCGACGGATTCTTTTCCCTTTTTTCTTCACTGCCGGCCCACTTGGCACCGATACATTCACATTCGTGTGCAAGAGCCACACCAGTGCGATCCTGGGGCATGCCTTTAAGCACACCAAAAGATATTTCCAGTATTAACTAATTAGGATAACTCTTGTGGTCATAGTGATGTCTGATCATTCCTTTATTCAAATCGCTTCCTTTCCAACCCGTTCTGATGAATGACACGCTTGCGGTTGCAGGATCTGATGATGCCAAGAAGGCTGCGAATCTGCCTGTTTTGAACTTTCTACCAAGATGCTGTTCCTCCACTAAGTTCTCGAAGCATGTGCATCATTCTAGAGTAGATACTCGCTGCCCTTTCCCTACGATTCTTTTGCAGGACGCGTTGCCTTCCTATGCCATACTGATCACTACGAACCAAACCAACAACCACTTGTAAGATGTTATTTGCATTAGGCTAAGTACAACACTTGTGAAACTAATGATGACAGCAAATAAGTGGCAGCAGCACCGTTGTGTCCGTTGATGAACCTTTGATTACGACCCCCTCCCAACTCTCATCGGAGCAAATACGACCCCCTGTCGAGGATTTCCTCGACCGTTATTCACCCTGCATTGTTATTTTGTGACATTCATGTTTTTGTTCATTTACAAAACAAAATCTGCGGTTATGTGGTGAGGCGGCGGCGCCCACAAAATCGCGTCCGTCCCACGCGACCGAAAAGTGGAAAAGGGGCGTCGTCGTGAATGTGTTAATGAACGCGTTTTCTCATCCCTAGACGAATAATTACTAGCCATTGAAAGGAAACATGGATACTTTTATTTTGAAATCTTGAATTCCGTTAGTTATCCGTCGACATTAGTTATAGTACACCCTGTATTTCGATCGCCTCCAGCAGTTTCTTCTTCCTTTTTTCTTCCTTTCCTCGGTGAAGCTATGCATATGATTTCGAACTGCTTTTCTGCAGCCGGAAAATATGCGCTCGACTCAAAACTCACCATATTGGATTGCCATATGGCTAAGGCATCCTCGTCTAGCCCCATTGCATAACCAACTTTTACACCGAGAATAGCCATGTACCACGAGAAGATGAACACGACCGCGGTGACCCTGAGACGTTTGAGTACCCTTCGAGTTTCGTGGCTCGTCGACGGTTTACCTGCAAACATTTCTCTCAGTAAATGGCGCATTCAATAGACGAGTTAGTACTGTATCGGACACAGCTAAAACTCTTCGTCGGTGGGCCAAGTCACTAAAAAGCAGTTGTGTTTGTTCGTTGTTTGTCTACAAAAAATTGCATGATGTGGGTCAGCATGTTTTCACATCACAGTGGTGCAGATGAAAAAAAAACCGGCCTCTGAATCTTATGATTAGGATGATTATCGCGTATGCCAAAACAACCAGTGAATTAATAATAATGTTTGACATCGACCAGAATATGCTAACTTTGGGCGCAAGTGCTGAAATTATGAACATATCATAGCGCACCACCACCCGCACCAAAATATGCAATACGAAAATATATAGTGGTACTGAGTCCTTTGATCTGAAGAAATTCTTTCGTAAAAGCACTAATTTCTTCCAGAAATACGTAATTCGAGAACACTCAACTATAAATTAGCTAACCTCATTACAACCACTGCAATTTGAAAAAAAGACATTTTATATGAGGTATTTTTAAAAAAGTAGTTTCGAAAACCTAGTTCTTTACAGATCTCATTTTAAGGTATATCTAAAACAAATACCCATCGGTGGATTGCAAAAAGGAATGGTCTCATCATCGCAAGCGATGAAACCCCATAGTGTAATAGGAAGGGAATAGGTACTTCCTATAAAGGCGAAAATAACAATATATGGTGCTGTGGAACGCCTGCGGTACCTAAAAGCGAAAACGCTACTTTTAGCATTTTCTGACGTAATGGTAAAATCATGCCATTAAGAAGAATCTTTGAGGCACACTCCACAATCAAGTGGGCGATATGTTGCAAGTTTGCTAGAAAGAAAAGTAGACGGTCCGAATGGAGGCTCGGTGGTAATTGTTCATCATAATTACATTTTTCTGCCATTACATTAAGGGAATTAGAGGAACTCATAAACTTCAGAGACCCTCTGAAACGAAATTGTTAAGATTGATGTGTTGTTCGTGTCATCTACGGTTTTTAAATGGGTAACAATGGGTCAAGTAATAAAGATGGAATCAGAATTGGAAGTAAGGGTTTTCTCAAAAAGGATGAGGTGGATTCCAGTTTTGCTCAGTTCATCTAGTTTACAAGAAGATGATGTAATATGGCTTTCCGCCATCGTTTGATGATTTTATTTGGCGTAGAACCAGCGTCGGGAATCTCGTCCGACCATGAGCCCCTATCTTAGGGGGTGATACCGCGGTTGGACAAGGTGAGGTTGTTTAGGGTTTTTGGATTGTATTGGCTTCTTCTCACTCCCTTCTCCTCGATTTACTCTGCTATACTCTCATTGTCGGATGGATTTATCGCACCAACTTGGTCGTGGGGTGCCTCTAAGCTATGAACTATTAAATATGGAAATGTTGTAGGAACGTACCATATTGGGAATATGAGTGCGACCAATAAATCAATCGCCATCAATAAAGTAACAGAAACCTGCTGACATATAGAGAAGACATAAGCCATTATGTACTTATAGCAGCGCCTTCTTGATGGTTGATGACCAAAAAGTAGGAAGCTGGCATTGACTAGTTCGCCAACCAGGCAAATAATGTGATAGAAAGCATTCATAGCGAGGAGAAGCCCTTAATTTTCTTTCGAAAGTGTTCTGATCGGAGATCAAATCTACCTTTCACGTTCTTCCGCTATCGGATTCTTGTTTGTTGTGAGCGCACTCGCATGACCCTTGACATTAATGATAGCTGTGACCATCGGGAAAGTTAATATCTTTAAGTCTCATTGTAATTGCTGGCTCTTTGAGGCCCTTTAGAATGAAAGCATTATTGCCATCTATTGAACGCAGATTAGTTTTGCGGAACAAACACAATGCGTTTTTCCCAACTTTATTAGTTCATATTTCATGGACTTCGTTATAGTATTTAACTTGATTTGATTTATTACACGGTTGGCTCTTGTGAACTTAGAACAAGGAAAAAATATGGAATACCGAAGAACAAGAATTGAAATGACATTACCAAGCAAAAAAAAACAAAATATATCACGTTAGTAAGTTCCGAATGTCCCCCTATTCTAACGATAAGCTTCCTTTGACAGCTGTAAGAATTCCATTTCTACAATAAATATGGAGTGCTGACACTGTCCGACTGTTAGTGTATGTTTGCGACGTATTTCATAGCACACATCTAGCAACGAAGGAAGGATGACACTTGAAAGCTATATAAGGGGTGAAATGGGAGCAAAGATAGTGGGTGATAGATCGTGATTGCATTTCATAGTATTTGGTCAAAGGGCTCAGAATGCAACCATTTAATTGAGCACCTTTCGCGATGACAGTGGAATAATTGAATCTCCTTATATGTGGTATAAGAGAACAGGCAGAGACACCGATAGTGTGGCCGAAGTGACAACAGTTGATAATAGCGGATAATTAGCGTTAGATTGTTGGTATAGCCAGCCTCGCTGGATAGTTCGTAGTGAATGGAGTGCTGGTGCTTTACATACTGCGGGTCGGGGGTGAGCACAGACGTGAGATATGTACTGATAGTGGATGGTGACTAGCTTGATATATATAATGACGGTCGAATGATAAATGCTGTCAATTTTGCTATGCTATACGCAATTGTGATTTATCGATCGCGCCCACATTCAAATGCTTATTTGACATGATGTTGATGATGAGTGACAGTAGGTCCCACGCGGTTCAGAAACCTAAAACGCGCGATGTCGTCGACGTGTTAAACGCCACTACGAATACGAATGGAAGTAGAATGGGTGCCGCTTCTCAAGGAGGGATTGATCGACGATTAATGCTTCATCCTTTTTATCCTCTGGGCTAAGAGCCATGTCCCAAATTCACTTAGTATAAGAAAAGTGATAGTGATGAGAGAGCTTTTAGAGTAATGCTGAGTATGTGAAGGTTCATAATCATCCTCATGAACGGCTTCATACTTAAGGCCGTCTCGATATTACTGCCCTCTATCAGCCTTAAGTGATCTCTCAATACGACACCCCTCCCCTAACACCACCCCTCCATTATGATTGTTCCTTTCCTGCCTACTATGGAGCGCTTCGTCTGTCGTCTATCGTCTGCCTCTCGCTCTATATGTCTGTCACGAGATTCCCTAGCTCTTAGTATATTTTCTATTCTGGGATTTGCTGGCACAATGCACAATCCAACCCCGCCTACGTTTTCCTTTATAATGGGAAGTGGGGAGGATGGAAATATGTCTAAAAAGAAAATGCAAATGTTGTTTTTGTTTATTTCATTATGCGTTCCTAAATTTCCATCGCTAAAATCGTCAAAAAAGCTCCCTTTTCCACAACCACCACCTCAAAACTTTCGCAAATACGACACCCTCCCTATTCACACACTTCTAGAATACGAATATCATGATCAGCTCCACATGCGACCCCACAGTAGCATGTAAATGCCATTGGTTTCTTTACATGCTTCTTCAGCCCAGATACTCGCACGTTCTTGGAAAAATCGAACACTGGCTCAGGCGCGCTGAATTAGTGTAATTTCTATGTTCAAAATCGTAGAGGATAGACATGGGGAACGGGAAATTGGCCGTTGGACCATGCCAGGAAAAAACAGATGGAAGAAAAATGCTTGCCCTAAATGCTCTCCCCAGAATGGATTTTAGTAAGTTGAGCCGATATTATCGTTGTTTTTCAGAGGTATGCTGCTTGATTTCTTGCTGATTATTTTCATAGATTATGATGTAGTGCGGAAGCGTGCAGTCTCGGATTACAAAGGAATGGTGGGAGACACTCGTGACGCTCATATGTACAATAGAATTTTTGATAGAGTTCAACCCCCTCCTTGTTTCTAGGAAAAGACATAGAGGTCTCAGCCAGTAGTTAGACTGCAGCCTAGTGACACGAAACCCTAATTAATGTGCCGACGAGCTTAATGCCAAGCGCTGAAATTCATTGTGAATTAGTAGCTCAAATCGAACACTTCTGTAATTATTGCTGTATGTAGATATCATGAAGCTTGCTAATGATTACTAGAAACTTGAAAATATTTTGAATGCGAAGAAAAGAAGATGTTCAGGTGGCACCCACCATTGGGTGCCCTGTTCGCTGTTCCTAATGGGTGTAAACTGGTATTTGAAATAAAAACGGCGAATAATTGCCGCTCAACCTGATACAGTATGGGGACGCGCAATATCATGTCGCAACAACATTTCTTTTTCTGAGGTAGCGTTGGGGATGAAGTTTTCTACGTGTATAGCGTAAACAATTTTGCTACCATAGCACCATGATAACAGCTGAAAATGAAATATAAGCGTGGAATCCTATTATACTATCAGTTTTTTTTTCAATGAAGGTATTGCCTCGAGTGTTATTCGAAAACCTGATTCCTGATTCCAGAACCGGTGAAGAGATGTAGGGAAATGCCCACATTTTTATTTCCACTTATTCACACTGGCAGTCCCTTTCCCTAAAATGTAATCGACGATTCATACACGCGGCAGCGACCCCCTTTCCTCACCTCACCATCTATTTGAAAATTCAGAGATAAATACTGTCAGTATAATTACACTTACAGACGTGCATTTTTACGTTATTGAAATTAATTTTCATGGGAGTTACATCCACTGAAGGCCCCAGGGCTCGCTAATAATAACCTCTTCAGGGTTACTCTTTTGAACATGTAAAGAGTTATTTCCTAGTAAGGATACAGTTTTCATCTGCACAGAACACTACCTTCGAACGGGCGCCACTGTTTCAGGAAGCACTTCAAATTGTAGTGGTAGCACATGACTGCGGGTGTGGACATATGTCATTAACGGTAGCCAAAGGTTCAAAACTCTATTAGTTCTCTTCTATCAAAAATATAGTGTCTAGCAAAACCCGCGCTTTCGAGGAAAACAAATGCAACCAAAATAAAAAGTACAGTACCTGGTTTTGTATGTGTGGTTCTTCTCCGGTAGGTTGTCCAAAGCAACTGAAAGTTGCCAAAAAGGCCGACGACGTTGAAGAAGAATATCTCGGACAATATACAATACTTAGCAATCTCGAACGCGAGAGGAGACATCTCTGCTTACCATTACACGGCATTCAGGTTAAGATGAGCTGCGGTAAGAAAGGCTGGCTCCTTCAATTCTTTGGAAGCATTTTGGTCCCTGTAGAATTTGTCTTGTGTAAGCATCTACGCATATTCGAAAATCTACCATGACAAAGTTGTTAACTATGTTAGCGAATTTGTCCATCTTAGCGTACCAATGATGAGGGAAGTATGAAGTATCCAAGAAATTTCGGAAGAAAACGTAGGTAAATCAACCGAATCTGGAATGCTAGTTACTTTGGAAAGCGAGAATGTAAATGCACTTTCCAACGACTTGCGTGAGCTCAGAGTCGGCAAAAATGTCGCGCGGGCGAGCTATCCATCGTGCGGCAACTGTGGTGCAGAATTAGTAGAATTCTTCCGCGGTAGGTTTTGGTACCACGTGATGCACAAATTTTTTGCCCGTTGCTTTTCGTTATCAGTAAAGGACTATTATAAAAGAAAATGGGAACAAGTGATACCGACGGGATCGTGGTTTACATCGTGAGTCATTTCATCAATTTTTAAACTACTCGGTGGAGAAGTAGCGGAACTGAACTGGGGCAGGAATGATATCCGAGAAAAATTCAAAGTCGTTTGCATGATCTGGCGTGATGCTTGTCCTTATGAGCGAGCTTCATAGAAAGTCCACTTTTTGACGAAACTTTAAGAAAGTTCGCATCTATAGAGGTACATTATCGTAAGTGGTGACAAAGACTTGAGCACAAGGTCTCCTCTGCGATGGCAAAAAATGCGTTCATCAAAACCGACATTTATAGACAGCCACCATGTTCGCTATGTGCACACATTCGATATAATAATGAGGCAACGGCACTCCCACCTCACAAAGGCATAGGTTTTTGTCACTTTCATTAACTGCTGAATAGCGGGTGTTTCGAGAACTCTACAATACAGATTTCAGGTTACCCAAAAAAAGATTTCAGGTTTGGAAGGAAATATTCACCTTGAGATGATTATCCACACGTGTCACTTGTTTTGAGTGCTGAATACTCCAAATGCAGAAACAGCATTTGCCAAGCTACCAGTATGCCATAGCCACTCAATTTTTTGGTGAACTTGGGTTATGTCTTTTTAGTTGAATGTAATTGAAATGATCCTCTATGTAGAATTAGCGAGGTCACTCTCGGCTCTTTCGGCTGTAGCAATCAATAAATGAAAGCCAATATTAATAAAAGTACCTTTGATAGTTTCAAAGAGTTCAGGCGTATTACCATAGTATGATCTGACGCAAACACGAGAATGAAGGATATTAGAAATAGGTTCGGCCGCCTATCATGGATATGGTGAAAAAACATGACTACTGCACAGGTGAAGTAAGTTCTACTAGGCAACGCAATACATTTCAAAAGACGTGCATGCAAAATAGGTCTATGTCTAACCACACTGCGTACCACACCATACTGGTTCATTTGTATTGCACGTGTCACACCACAATAACCGTAGTTTCGCGCTGATGATAAAGCGGTTGAATTCCCGAACGCTAGTGACGGAAAGGGAACTTTGACCAACACAAGCTACTGCAATTGTTGGACCTGGATGCTTTGCGCAACAATTCTCTTTGCGAATTTTCCTTCTTTTCGAAGAATTCGAAGGTAACAATTAACAATGTCTCCATAACTACGAATTAATGTTGACGCGAATATTATCAGCGATATCTTCTGCGGAAACGCCTTTCATCATTCAGCGAATTTCACCGTACCAGTGCTTTCCATCTACAGATGCTACTTTAGAAAGCTAGCATCGCCTCGCCTTCCAGATAGGGTTGTCACGGAGGCTCGGCTACAAATACTTCGGTATGGGCACCATCTAGAATTTGGCCGAGGGAACTCGTCAAAAGCACTCGTACCGCGACATGCTCACTTTTTTTTTTATAACACTGCGGACAACTATTTTTCGAAATGATCCCCGTTAAAAGTTCTGGCGCTACGACGCGATTCTTGCCTCAAATAGCATACTATCCTGGTCAAGTGTTGACACCTGCTTCACTTGACCCGCACTCCGCCACACTGGGAGAACGGCATCAAGAAAATTTGAGCATTGGTAGACTCTCAGGGGAGATATAAAGCTGGTGAAGCTCTGCAAACAAAAATCATAGAACTGATCAAAAAAGGTAAGAAGGTTGCAGATTTTCTTTCCAACTTAATATGTAAAAAGCAATCATACATCCGGTGACAAAGTAAATTTATTACATGTGACTGACAAGTTCCTATGGTATATCAACTATAGCAATGTTTAATCATATCTTAAACTTCTGACGTAGTGTTAGAATTTGTTATAGGAAAACTGCTCGAGATAATCAGGACACAGTTTGTAGGAGTATCATCCGAGAAGGCTGAAAACGTGGAGGGGTGATGAGTAAAAAAATGCTCGAACAATCCCGTCAACGACCATATGAACGTACATACATATATCTGCTAAAAGGATGCAAGCTTTAGATGTTCTGGATAAATGTGTGTATTGTGTTCCGGTGTCGCTGGAGACGAGCTTTTTCTCGCACCAGAGTGTTTGCAAAACATAGAGGTGTTTGTAAGATATGATTGGTAGAAAAACTATCAAAGGAAAAAAAACTGTCTTATCAGTGGTCACTTTTGCTGAAGCCAGCAAATTGTGCGCGTGGTAGCGGACGGAGCAGCACTGGTATATTAATAACAAAAGAATAATCGGCCATTGGTTCATTTTCTTCGTGCGTCTTGACACAATCGGGTTACTGAGGGTCTTTATTACCCATCAAATGTAATTAAACGTTTAATGCGTCTTGAATATGAAAATGCTACCCATGTTTTATCTGCATACACATGCATCGTAAACATGGTGTAAATACTTATACAGTACATGTGAACAGAGGGCAACGCAGCGTAAACGTGAATTAGAGAAGTAGCTGCAACCAAAAGATGGAGTAGCTACCACAAAGCCATCGGTTCTTTTCTAGATTTAATATTCAAGAAAACGTGAGAGCATGACATACACGACCTTGACTTAAGAATTTAGAAGCGAGGCGATTTCGCAATTGGCTGCACAAAGACCTTTGAGTTGGATGTGTCTCGAAACTTGATGATTTTTGTTGGTAACTAAAAGCACTGGCCGGTCATGATAGATAGCTGCTCCAAGAAGGCCGTGCGGTATTCCGCTGAGCGCCATATGCACACGTAGAAAGTTTGGCTGTAACAAAGTAGAGCGAAGAAAACCTGGAATAGGAGACATCAAGAAACTTCAAGAACATGAACTGTTTATGATAGTTCAAATCTGGCGGAAGACTAGGCAAAGTTTGCATGAAGATGCGTCCTACGTGACAAGAGGGTTCATGCCTTGCATACTGCTATGTTGAAATGAAGCTCAAAGGCCTACCATGTTGGAACGCCATATGGCAAGGGCATCCTCACTCAGCCCTAACGCATACCCGACATTCACACCGAGGATAGCCATGTACCACGAAAAAATAAAGACGACCACACTGACCTCAAGTCGTTTGACAACTCTGCGAGTCTCGCGGTTCGCGGAAGGCTTAGCTGAAACGTAGACTTAGATAGTTCACAAGTGCTTTTGTGTTTTGTGAAATATCAGCCAAGATGGTTAGACTGACGAGGCTTTTTAAACGGTCGGAAGGCATTATGATAGCTAGTTTGACACTCTACGAGTGGTCATCAGAAACTTAAAATATTTCGTAGACCAACCTCTAAATCTCACAATAATGATAATAACGGCATAAGCGAGAACAACCAAAGAATTAATAACAATATTTGACAGTGACCAGGCAAGGCTAACGTGGTCTTTGAGTACTGAAAACACTCTTTTGAAATGCAGCATGAGTGACATTCTAAAAAAGGTAGCAAAGTTTGGCTGCAGTCGACCAAGTTTGCAAGAACAAGGAAGCGGCATTGGGAAGCGATCAATAGAAATCGATTGCTGATTTATTCAAGCTCATTTAGGTGTGAACTCTCGCATTTGAGGTGTATTTCCTCAGGTGTGAGTAAAGCTGGTCAGCTGGTCACCAGCGCGTGTAGGGAAGATAGGGTGCGGATTGTGACTTCGGTCAAAGCTTTAAAATTGCGATGTTTTGCGAGGACCGAGATTGATATGCACACTAGTGCGTGTAAAAAAATTTGACATTCGACCAAATCATTTTCTAAGAGAGTTCGACTTCTAATGAATTCATAGATGGGAAGTCATTCATTATACTCAATCATATCTAGCTTACCTAAGGGTGGATTGCAAAATGATAGAACTTCATCGTCGCGAGCAACGAAACCCCATGCTGTAAAAGTTAGAGAATAAGTGGTTCCCATCAGAATGAGTACAAGAAGATATGGCGTAGAATTGCACCTACGATACCTAAATGTGGAATGGTCATGTGTTCCTCGTTAGTAAAGGCAAATTTCTTACTGACTAAGCATGGTGTTTGTCAGCGTTCAACTGTGTGAAGGGAAAGTCTGGGTGAAATCAACGCACCATATCGGGAATAGAAGTGCAACCAGTAAATCGACAGCCATTGATAGGGTAATAAAAACTTGTTGGCAGATCGAGAAGATGTAGATTGCTATATACGAATAACAGTGACTCCTAGCTGGAGGTTGCCCGAACAGTATGAAACAGGCGTTAACTAGTTCACCCAAAAGACAGAATATGTGAAAGAAAGCATTCATAGCGAGAAGAAGACCTGAATAATGTCTCTCAGAAGTCGCCGTTATGGAATCTAAAATTTTGCTTCATTATTCATTTATTTAAGATTATTTGCTGGTCACTTTCATGACTTTATCCTGTTGTTGTAATTGAGTGATGATTCCGAAATGCCAGCTATATGGCAATAGAAAACATTTCGCCTGTCGCAAGTTTATACCGTACGCTACGCTTATCTTTACGTCTGTTGTGAAACATTGCGCCCAAGCGCTGATGTAGTAGAACTGAAGCAGTAATTCTATGCAGTGTTGGCCAACGAAAGAGCTATTACTTTGCCCATGGTGCACAGCATCATCCTTTTTATCCCACAGGGTACCGTTGTTAATGAGTTTTACGGCAAAATGTTCCCGAAATGTTCTCGTATAAGCAAGGAGACCCTTCTTCATTGCTCTCTCCGTGAAGTCATCTGCCATTATCGACGAGCTCAGAGAAGTTTACGGTAATCGCTCCAGCATAGAGCTACATGATTTCTTCAATCGTTTCACTGATGTATTAGAGCCTCAAGGGTAGTGACTCAGACTATGGAAGACCTCTTTGACTAGCGTAAGAAACGTCGTACTGGCCTAATACCTGTCGGATACTTCGCTTATTGTGAGCTCAAACCGTACACCGAGGGAATATCCTGTGATGCCGCCGGTGTAGAAGGCAATTATATGGTTTTTTTTTTGATATACGTATTTGAGTGAGTCATTCAATTTCAGTTGGATTATTCCGTTTGGACCTAGCAAAATGCTGTGGTCGCTTTTCGAATCACACTCGAATCACACTTCTTTTAAATCGTCCTTAAGGTTTCAGTTATTATTTTTTACAAGAACATTGTGAAAAATAAAAAAAATACCCGCCTGGTTTGGTATGTGTGAACTTCTTTCGATAAGTTGTCCAAAGTAATTGTATGTTACCAAAAAGTCCAACGACGTTGAAAAAGACTATCTCAGATAATATGCAGTACTTAGCTACTAATAAGGCGATCCCAGACATCCCTATAAAGACAAGCTTTCGAGAGATTCCAAGTCTTTACTGGACGTAAGCAAACCAGCCCTTTTGCGCATCGGCTGAATGTTGGGGAGGGGATGGAGTCCCCGACGGTGGACGGACCACTTCAACTCGGTCCTTAGAACCGCCACAATTTGGTGCTTACCTCAGAACTAAGCCTTAAAGAGAGGACGGGTCCGTCCCCTCTCCAAGGCTTAGTCCTGGGGTGAGCAAACCAGCCCTTCTGGCGGAGCTGCTGGACCAGCTGCACCACTTGCAGTACTCTCCTATCGTACCAACCGAGTTGAAGTAAACCGTCGACCGTTGGGGACCCCATCCCCTCCCCAACATTCAGCATACGGTCCCAGCCGAAACGCCAAAAGGGCTGGTTTGCTTACTTCTCTCTACTGTGACTAGAACAGAATGAGCCGCTCGACTTGAACACACAAAATACTAACCATGAAGAGAGCAATACTTTCTGCGCAGGTGCTTGCCAGTGCATTTCATTGAAACAATATCATTATAATAATTCCATAAATTTTAAATGAGTTAAGGCTTGTCTAATTACGCTGTACAGCGCATTTACATTTACAATATATACTGCGCTTTGACGTTTATCTTAGAGGAATGTTCACCGCGATCTCTCAGTAGTCATCAATTACACTGCTATAGGAGATTATTCGAACACTGTTAGAACTAGCCTGGACTCAACTTAAATTTTGCATATGAGCTTCGGTCGGTGAAACAAGTGGTATGAAATGGCTATAGCGTACAATATTCAAACAAAGATACAGAATGGCTGCCAGCATTCTTCTTCTTAGTGTACAAGGCTTCTTTTCGCATCTCGAGAGGAGTAGAATCTAAGAAGAGAACCTAGGAAAGCCCAATATAATTCACCATTGGAACGCGCACATTATTAGAATTCTAGTGGCTTGAACTGTATCGAGAGCATATTCCACCGTGGATCGCCAACACAGTTGCTCCGGAGACCTGTGATTGCGCAAAGCGAAGCTTCTGCTTAGGCACCATTCTAAGGACTGTAACATTTATCAGACATTCACTAGCACGAAGTGCCCTCCATAGGCTGAAACCAAAATTATATGAAATCATATGAGAGTCATGCTTCAATGGGCAACGGTTCAAAATCGCAAACACTCCGTGATCCTCACCATTAGCTGCTGGTTCATCTATCCTTCTATGAAAACATGATTTTGACAAGGTTTCATGTACCAGTGTCAAGAAGTGATGAATGGTGTAATGTTGCGCAGACCTTTTCACTTTTGAAAAACATTTGTGTTGTTGTTTGAATTTGGTGTGTTGTATCGGCCTGTATGTCATGAGTTTAATTTATGCCAGACTTCGTCGAACAGTTGTAATAATCAGATTTTCTCTGTCTCTACGAAGGCTACCGACGCTAGTAAGATGTTTTGTTCAGAATTTCAAAAGCGGTCTTCACGAAGAGGCAGCTCGATAGAAACCAGTATATATGTACAGGGGGGGGGGCAAAAAAAGAGTCACTTTCATTTACTTGAGTTGTTGATATTATGCCAAACAGGTTTGATATGGTGGAATTTTTATTCAGCCTAACGTTTCGACAAATTCGTCGTTGTCAAAGGCCTGAAAGCGTTCCGAAACAATCGAATGCTGCTTACCCGCCTAACATGAACCAGAATTTGGCCAAGTGCCACCCATTTTTATGAACCGCGAAATGGAATCTATAACAAGCGTTACTCACCTCAACTCCACCAGCGCCGATACTCGCTCAGCTCCCTTCAGCGATTAATAATACCAGTAGAATAAATGAGACCAACCGGTCATGCACTGCTTATAAAGAGTGCACGTGCAGTGCATTATATCCCCGCTATCACAGCTTGCAGAGAGGGATATAGGGCAAGAAGTCGGCAGTTATGGAGATGCATTCATTTCTGTTGTTCATGCATGGATTGCGCTGCCTTATATAGAAAGCTTCAAGGGTCTTTCTAGCACCGATGTCGTTCTCGTAAGCTAGTATCGTGCACTTGACGTCAAAGTCGTCGCCAGCATGACTTCCCTTCTGTGCTTACCGAAGAGGTGCATTCGTGCTTTCCCTTCTTTTGCTAGCCAGATGTTCTCTCACTCGCACACCTAATTGTCTCCCAGTTTCTCCAATGTACAAAGCATCACATGTTAAACACTTGAAGCTGGTAAACCACAGATCTTTGTGCACAGTCTCCAACTTTTCCATACGGGCAGATCACGCAGTTATCCATGACACAGATTCGGTCATAGAGCGATTTCTGACCAACAGGTGTTTGATGTTGTCTCGTGGTGTGTTGATCAGGAGGACATCATTGATCAAATCTGCTCTTCTCAGGCATCGTTGTATAACTGCACTAAATTGCTCTGATATGAAAGGAAGCCGGAGATACAATTTATTCTCAGCTTCATATGGAAAAGGCCTTAGTCTGCTTCGTCTCTGCCTCTGCCGCGCTGTGTAACCATTGAGATTAGCAATTTGATGAGCTAATCTTCTGGACTCTTCTCGCTCCTCGTCACCGGTGCACACCTCCACAGCCGTTTTGTACATGTTACGCAATACTGCGCGTTTAACAGCTCTGGGGTGTGCTGACAGTGCGTGAATAATGATATTTTTGGAGCTTTCCTTTCTATACCATTTCACACTGTATGTAGCATTGGATACCCTGACCTGAACGTTCAGATAAGGTAGCCAACCCTCACGCGGGACTTCTCGAGTAAGCTTGATGTACTGCGACTGACTATTGAAGAATATTGAACAACTCATCCATTTCGGACTTGAGTTGATGTGATGACAAAACAGTCGTCGATGTAACGGCAGTACATGATTGGCAAACGTGCTAGCACTGGTCGTTCAATTCTACTCATGAAACAGACAGCGAGAACTGGTGCTAGCCGTTGCCCCATTGCAAGCCCTCTGATTTGTGAGAAATATCTTCCGGACCACTTAAATATATTGCAGTTCAAACATTCCCTGATAAGAACCATTATTTGAGTTTTACTCAATCCAAACGTCACCATACTCTTCTACAACACAGTTGGGTTGAAATCTGCAAGAACGTAAGCGGTCCAGAAACTGTCCCGTGTTTGACAGATGTGATGGTACATGCATGAGAAGTTGACCGACAATCTTATTGAGGAACCATGAAATGCGATCGGTCGGTCCATTCACACAGCTGATTATTGGTCTTATTTTATAGTCCTGCGGCGAGAGTGACCTCATGTTTCCAGCAGACAATTTATGAGTTTTTATAAGGCTATAGAAGACGCGCAAGAAGTATGGTGACGTTTGGATTGAGTAAAACTCAAATAATGGTTCTTATCAGGGAATGTTTGAACTGCAATATATTTAAGTGGTCCGGAAGATATTTCTCACAAATCAGAGGGCTTGCAATGGGGCAACGGCTAGCACCGGTTCTCGCTGTCTGTTTCATGAGTAGAATTGAACGACCAGTGCTAGCACGTTTGCCAATCATGTACTGCCGTTACATCGACGACTGTTTTGTCATCACATCAACTCAGTCCGAAATGGATGAGTTGTTCAATATTCTTAACAGTCAGTCGCAGTACATCAAGCTTACTCGAGAAGTCCCGCGTGAGGGTTGGCTACCTTATCTGAACGTTCAGGTCAGGGTATCCAATGCTACATACAGTGTGAAATGGTATAGAAAGGAAAGCTCCAAAAATATCATTATTCACGCACTGTCAGGCACACCCCAGAGCTGTTAAACGCGCAGTACTTGCGTAACATGTACAAAACGGCTGTGGAGGTGTGCACCGGTGACGAGGAGCGAGAAGAGTCCAGAAGATTAGCTCATCAAATTGCTAATCTCAATGGTTACACAGCGCGGCAGAGGCAGAGACGAAGCAGACTAAGGCCTTTTCCATATGAAGCTGAGAATAAATTGTATCTCCGGCTTCCTTTCATATCAGAGCAATTTAGTGCAGTTATACAACGATGCCTGAGAAGAGCAGATTTGATCAATGATGTCCTCCTGATCAACACACCACGAGACAACATCAAACACCTGTTGGTCAGAAATCGGCTCTATGACCGAATCTGTGCCATGGATAACTGCGTGATTTGCCCGTATGGAAAAGTTGGAGACTGTGCACAAAGATCTGTGGTTTACCAGCTTCAATGTTTAACATGTGATGCTTTGTACATTGGAGAAACTGGCAGACAACTTAGGCGTACGAGTGAGAGAACATCTGGCTAGCAAAAGAAGGGAAAGCACGAATGCACCTCTCGGTAAGCACAGAAGGGAAGCTCATGCTGGCGACGACTTTGACGTCAAGTGCACGATACTAGCTTACGAGAACGACATCGGTGCTAGAAAGACCCTTGAAGCTTTCCATATAAGGCAGCGCAATCCATGCATGAACAACAGAAATGAATGCATCTCCATAACTGCCGACTTCTTGCCCTATATCCCTCTCTGCAAGCTGTGATAGCGGGGATATAATGCACTGCACGTGCACTCTTTATAAGCAGTGCATGACCGGTTGGTCTCATTTATTCTACTGGTATTATTAATCGCTGAAGGGAGCTGAGCGAGTATCGGCGCTGGTGGAGTTGAGGTGAGTAACGCTTGTTATAGATTCCATTTCGCGGTTCATAAAAATGGGTGGCACTTGGCCAAATTCTGGTTCATGTTAGGCGGGTAAGCAGCATTCGATTGTTTCGGAACGCTTTCAGGCCTTTGACAACGACGAATTTGTCGAAACGTTAGGCTGAATAAAAATTCCACCATATCAAACCTGTTTGGCATAATATCAACAACTAATTACTCAAGAACAAATGCCCAGGTTTCAAGAAAGGCGGACATGGAGACTTTCATTTACATTCAAAGCAAAATTAATTACACTTTGCCGGAACCAAACCAAATGAGCTCAATTGCATATTGAAGAGCACATTCTATTCTATCAAAAAATTACATAGGGCTTTCTACACCGACGACATCAGAAGATTTTCCCACGGAAACATGGTT